AGACTCCTGGCCTCACCCCTACCGACAAATGCCACAGCAGCCTCAGATTCAACTACCAACGCTGCCTCCATCCTACAGCACAACTGCATCTGCACCGCAGCCCTTTGCCGCCCGACGAAAGACAAGCACAGATCTTTGAACTGCCTGAAAGAAGAGCGAGCGCCTGCCCCGGCAACAACTTCGACAGCATCATCATCATCATCCAGACTGTCTGCCACCAGCGACGGCGTAAGAGCAATGAAATACTCCGTGACTGGAGTCAGCACCAGATCTAAAGCTCATGAGAGAGTGACACTGCAGCCGGACAGCCCGGACGAAGATGAACTGGAGGAAAGAGGAGAGAACATCGGAGCTTTCCCCATGGTTCAAGTGGCTGGGCCGAACGGAACTGTGATGGTTTTTCGACCATGGAACGAGAAAGACTTGAAAGAGGCTATGACACACCTGCCTCACCCCAAAGACTCTGGAGAAAAGTTTGCAAAGGATTTGGACATGTTTTGTCAAGAATTCAGCCCCACCATGCAAGAACTGAAACGTTTGCTTATGCTCAAATTGGGAGCAACAGACTGGCACAAGATAAGACCACATTTCCCCACGGGCAACGTCCAGAAGAAGAACGCAGACTGGAATCACGCCGACAACGAGGCATATCGTCAGGCAGTGGAAACACTGTGTCAACGGATCAAGACTGACTTTCCAGTCAGAGTGAACACCACCAAAATCACACGGAAGGGGCAGAGGACAAAGACTGTCTCAGATTCATCCAGATGTTTGCTTTTACTGCGGGGAGAGGGGACAATTGAAAATTAACTGTCCACATTTGATCAATCAAACGGCGGCTGGACCAGAGAAAGCTAAGGCAGACTGACAACAGAGACTTTCACAGCAGAAGCCGGAGAAGGAGGGGGGAGTCGGTAGCATAGTCCACCAAGGCCACGCAGCACAAACAGATAAGAACAACACACACACACATTGTCTAACCCAGCTAACTGCAAGGAAGAAAATATGCTTGCTCATATTTCTGCTCATAGCAATGAAGAAATGCTTGCTATAATACATGATCACATTGAGAGATTAGAAAATGACAAATCTTCTCTGTACAACTATGTTATTTCCTTTATCCTCTTTGAAAACAAAATAACTGTGAAATTTCCAGACATGAAAACGTTTTTTCACACCAGGAAGCATCATAATTAATTTACTGTAGCAGCGTCTCAGCCCGCGTTTGAGGAGAATAATTGTAGACGGGTGTTATTTGCGCACGCACCAGCAGGCGGCTCACGTGAGTCAACATGTGTCAACAGAACCAGGAACTATGCAGTGCTAAATACATAGCGTTATGTCAAAACACTCATTTATTTAATTTTAAATGAAACAAATGTAATCCTGATAGTATTCCCTCTTTTTTACAAAATGTAACTGTAATCTGAATACTTTGTTTTTTGATGTAACTGTAACGGATTACAGTTACTAGATTTTTGTATTCTGATTACGTACCACCGTTTCTGTAACGGGGCAGACAAGACGTGAGACGTGCGGATCCATGTGCAAGCTTTATTTAGAGTAGAAGAGGTCAGAAACACAGGCAGGGTCGAACAATGGCAAACAGGTATATGGCGGGCAAGACACAAGAATAATCCTAGGGCTAGCGTAGGTCAACGGTCGGCGAACAGAATCAAAAGGGCGAGACTAGAGGGTTAAATCCAGGAGAACAGGCAAAGATCGGAAACCAAGAAAACAGACAGAGCAAGACTAGGCTGGGACACTAATGAGGGCTGTGTAAGGTAGCTATCACTGCTGGCGATAAGCGCATACAATACTCGGCAGTTAGAAAGGAGTGAGAATGAGTGTTAAATAGTGAGTGAGTGATATGAAACAGCTGTGTGCAATCAGTGCTGTGTGCAATCAGTGTAATGAATGATGGGATATGTAGTCCGGGGTGATAAGCAACAGTGTGTAGTGCGAGAGTCAATGAAAATGGAAAGGGTGACCTCTGATGGCTAGCAGACGGAAGTTCATGGACCGGATACGTAACAGTTACATGTATTCCGTTACTCCCCAACCCTTTCCTCTAAAAAGCTGTTTATTCAGCGTAGTGAAGCCTTTTCTCCATTGACATCCATTAAAAAAAAACGGCCTCTGGTCTCCTTTCCCACGTACTGCCAGACCGGAAGCATTAGCTTTAGCCGTTACGCTTTTTCGGCTAATGGTTGCAGGCTTGCCTTCTAGTGGCTTTGACTAGACCAAAGTCCTTTTAAGGCAAGTCATGTCACTCGGCGGCCATCTTTGTAACGCCTTTTGGGCATGCAAGTGCAGCTCCTATCACTTTGTATGGGGAAACATTAAATTCTCCCAAACTGGTAGTCCCTACCAGCCGTTTTTGTAGGCATTAAACTGCCAGAATTTTAAAAGACTATATCTCCGTTTGCATTGAACTTTCAGCTTCTTAACTTTGCAGATATTGTTCATGCTCAAACAGCAACATTACACACTATCGTTAAAAAAATGAAATCGCAATCAACCACCCCTTTAAGGCAAGTCATGTCACTCGGCGGCCATCTTTGTAACGCCTTTTGGGCATGCAAGTGCAGCTCCTATCACTTTGTATGGGGAAACATTAAATTCTCCCAAACTGTTCACTAAGCTTACGATTAAATTTCATATTTGAAATCACCAATGAAATCTGACAACAACTGTGTCATAAATGTAGTTTCTTTTGCTCAAATAGCGTTATAAAAAGCGTATTTTTTTCAGGCTAGATCAGCCAGTGCATATGCGCAGTCCTAAGCACACGTCTCAGAACGCTGACTGTTTCTATAGCAACCTGGACGCTTCTAATGGCAGCTGCAGTGATGCAATGACTTTACAGATTAGCGATTGGCTCTTTCATTCAGAAGGCGGGGCTTCCTGTGATTGAGCGGCCATATTGAACTTTGCATTTTTCCCCATTCAAAACTATACGAGTGACACTTCTTGGGTATTCTATAGTCTTTGACTAGACCCACTAGATTAAATCAGCACAGCCAGCGAGCATCGAACGGAACTTTTTTTTAACGAAAGCAACAGTTTCGAACAAAGAGCACCTTTTTTAAACAACAAAATAATGGCTGTTTCGCGGTCTGTTGGGGAAGTACAGACGTTCCTCTCGTTGATAGCCGAGGAGCGGATCCAGCGAGAGCTTGATGGGAGGAGGACGCAGAATCAAAGTTTTTCAGGAGGTCACGGCAGTAGAGGCGGCGCAACTATAGCGACATGTCTATAATCCCGCCCACTCTAAAGCGGTACTAAACTGCAGTGGAAACGCAACCTGAGCAGAGCCATACCATGCAGTGGAAAAGCGCCAATATTATTTGTATAAGGGTCATTCTACAGAAACGTTCACTTTTGGTATGGCAAGATGTCTTAAAATGTATTTCTTTTTTTTACATTTAAACTTAGACAACATTATTATATTACATTTTGGCTTTATGAATACACATAAATGACAGCTTAATGATTTTTTACATTTTTTTGTGCATTTATTTAAAGACCACATGTACCATTTTTTTTGTCAATGGTGTTACCTTACTTTGGCAATTTTATAGGTTTTTATGAAATATTATTTCTCGATTTTTTTTTAGTACATGTAATCAGAGTTACAGAAAAATAATGATAATGCAACAAATAAGGAGATTGTTTTATTTATTTTAATCAGGTTTGTTAAAAGTGTGATTGAATGATGTTAGCTCATTTGAGCAACCATGTATTTGCTATAACAATCAAAATATTTGTAAAAATTGTTATAAACTGATGCAATCCTTTAAATCTGAACTCAGAATTTAATGGATGTAAAATTATTATCATGTCACATGTGACACATTTTACTTAATGTGACAGAAAAAAAAGTAACACCAGTGACACAATGAAACACCAGTGACATATACATAAGACAAAATATCCTTATTCTTCAACTATAATTAAGTAGATAAGACTAAATTATTACATTTGGCATACATTTGGCAATTAGTGAAAGCAGTTAGTAAAAGAACAAACATAAACTGATCTTCACTGGTGTTACACATAAGTAAGATAACACCAGTGACAATTTTCATGAAAAATGCATTTTACAAAATGTCTGCTGCAAGGTATCAAACCACATGTTGTCAATCGTGGTATACTCACTAAATTGAGTAGTTTAATCCATTTGCATTCTAGTTTACAATTCCCTAACAATAAAGTAGGTCATACCAGTGACGTCCACTAAAAGCTTCATATGAAAGAGATATGAGATAAATTAGAAACTTTCTAATAACTGAAAAGAGACAGTGGACTTTACATGGGACTTTTTTCATAGATCTTCAGGAAATGGGAGGAAGGAAGTCAAGTGATGTCATCAGTGTGATTTTTATTTCAAAATAAAAGATTTTTGTTAAATGGTAACACCAGTGACACAACTCCAAGGGACCACTACTTTCATTATATATTTTATAATATTTATTTGGCCTTTTGTTTATGTCATTTACATCATATATTTGATAGTTATGAATACATCATTGTATTTTAAATGGTAGAAAAACCTATTTTTGACCTCAAAATAAAGCACTCTGTACATGGCTGCGGGGACGAGCAGATTTGTGGTGATTGGAATTAATATAATTAAAAACAAATATTGCCACATTTATGGCTCAAGGAGGTGTAATTGTTCAAATATCTAATCATAATGTTTTATTTTAAAATATATATATATATTTTAAAAAAAATTGTAACCCTAGAGTGTTTTTCAAGTGTTATATTTCTGTAAAGGCTAGGGACAGAAAAATGGACATTTCCATAGAATGACCCATAACTTTTAATTCATCAACACAATTACTTGAATACACCTCTATAATCAATGGATTTCTGCATAAAACCTAATTTAGAAATTTTGTGTGGCCATTACAAAAACTTCATCCCAAGGGCAAGGTGTGGAGAAGAGCAAGGAGAGAAATCAGATTACGGTCAAATAAAGCCTACACTGAGTCTCAAGCACTGTCCACACTTGGGCTTCACAGATCTTTATTGAAAAGGATTTAAACAATATTTTTCGTACTTTCAATTAACCATAAATAATTATTGCACATACACCCATGAAACAGTTTGAGACACTCACGGTTTACAGGCGGCAGATAATAACTTAGGACAGTAAAGAAACCTTTCTACTGACTCCAAAAAAAATAAAATAAAATCACAGAAGATAGACGTCCAGGGTCCCTGATCATCTGGTCGAACATGCCATAGTCCTGCTGCAAGGAGACATGAGGACTGCTTATGTGGCCAGAGCAATAAACTGCAAATGTACATAATGTACTGTAAGAGGCCTATAAGACCGTGCTACAGGGAGACAAGGACAGCTGATCATTCTTGCAATGGCAAATCATGCATCCACAGATGCATTCGAGAACTTGCAAGTGCCTTGGTGGAAAAGTGGGGTAATCTCACAGAGAGAACTGGCAAATCTCCATGTCCATGAGGAGGTGATGCACTGTAGTGCTTAAAAGCAGCCAGTGGCTACACAAGATACTTACTGTAACTTTCGAAATTGACACCCCTCTCTGTTCAGGGACTCATCCCATTTGTTCAAACGTCATTAATACTTGTTTGACTTTGTAAAAACATTTACCTCTTAAGATATGACGGAAATAAAAGCAGTTGAAAGCAAGGACATTTTAGGATTTATATGCACACAACGACAAGCAACTGGAGAAACGCCCACTAATGATGTCAATGTACAACCAACCTGTAGAGGAAACAGAAACTAGTTACCCATGATTTTTGCATAACCAGCCTGCGATCACGCCTTGACCCAAGCAGTTGTAATCAGTACAAAGAGCTCTTAAAAAGAACTTAAACTTCGAAACTGATTACATAACCACAGAGAGAGAACACCAAACAAAGAAAACTGAAGATGTAAATGTGCCAACAACAGAACTTCTCAGGTAAAAGATATTGAACTACCAGTAGACAAGTGTTTCTTCCCCCCCCCCCTTTTTCTAGAAGACATCATACACCTAACATTAAATATTACTACAGCAGTAGACCACATTAAAACCCTTGCCGATTTAGATAACCGAAAGAGAACCCAGCAAACACAAACCATGTTTGTTTATGTGATATTTATTGTTCAAAAAAAAAAAAAAAAAATAATTTATGACTTCTATGACT